ATATACAGAAATAAAAGCTTTATTAACTTACAGCACAGCGAGTGCAAAATATACTCTTTGAAAGATACACATATTAATATATACACACACAAGGAGTAAAATTTTGAAAGGCTCCTATTAGTTTATTAATAAGACTCGTGCCTAGCACACACAAAAAAAAAATAATAATCTCTTCCGGCTGGGAAAGCTGCCGGTTTATTTATAGGGAGGGAGTTGTAACCCTACAGAAAAGTAATTATAGAAACTAACCCCCCCCCCCCAAACCCCCCGATAGCATTCTTTACAGCAAATTAGAACGTAAACAACCTTTTCCCAATCAAGGGAGGGGCGTGTATGGTAGAAATGGAGTGGCGGCGCAGTGTCGCAAAGTTAATCCGTGAAGCCAGTATCAAAACGAAGCAAACGAAAGAAAACGAAGGGGAGGTGGGTGGAGGTCAAGGCTGCATGCCACGGCTTGTCGTGAACAAACACTAGGTCAACGTCCAGGTTATAACACACGATAAATTAATGACGACGAACATTTAAAATGACCTAGAAGCGGTCTAAAATCAATGACCAGGGCTCTATAAATCCTCACGGATAATCGAATCAGATTGACGTCCTATAAACTCTTATTGCAACCGACAGATCCGACCTTAGCGCTGGTGGCGCCCCAGGCAGTTTTATATTTTGGCGCCCTTTCCTCCTTCAAATTTACAGGTTGATATTAAGTGTTAATAATTAGGAAAAAGTTTCTTGCTAGAGACGACAGGAGATCAAATCCCCACAATTAAAAACACGTCTCAACTCTTCCAAGGACAAACAACGAAACTATTTCTCAGATTTTAAATGGAACATTCACAACTCATTGGTTTGATATTAAAGACCAATTTTGTTGTAAAGTCGTAACACTAACAAGAAGAAATCCCGACTTCCATCATTCAGTATCTAAGCATTTTTTAAAGTTTAAAAATATTAATTGGCATCATAACTTTTATACTATTCTAAAAAGCCTTTTTTTTTCCTCCTTGCTTTGGGGTGGCAAATAATTTAAAAAAAGAAGAAATCTTTGCCATGTTACCTCCGCAAGGCCCTGGGAACACCACGCGCGTTAGGCCCTGGGAACACCACGCGCGTCAAGCCCTGGGAACACCACGCGCGTCAGGCCCTGGGAGCATCACGCGCGTCAGGCCCTGGGAACACCACGCGCGTCAGGCCCTGGGAACACCACGCGCGTCAAGCCCTGGGAACACCACGCGCGTCAGGCCCTGGGAGCATCACGCGCGTCAGGCCCTGGGAACACCACGCGCGTCAGGCCCTGGGAGCACCACGCGCGTCAAGCCCTGGGAACACCACGCGCGTCAGGCCCTGGGACCAACACGCGCGTCCGGCCCTGGAGTCAGGCCCTGGGAGCATCACGCGCGTCAGGCCCTGGGAACACGACGCGCGTCAGGCCCTGGGAACACCACGCGCGTCAGGCCCTGGGAGCACCACGCGCGTCAGGCCCTGGGAACACCACGCGCGTCAGGCCCTGGGAACACCACGCGCGTCAGGCCCTGGGAGCACCACGCGCGTCAGGCCCTGGGAGCACCACGCGCGTTGGATCTCAGCGCTAATATTTACTTCAACAGACAGCTCTATAGTTATTGTCGCACATTTGAATGGTTAAAACCCAGCGACTTCACTCAATAGAAACCCCTTCACTAAGGCGCCTTTCCTTTCTTCTCGTCACCAATACCTTTAGACCTCCGCCACAGTTTAGAGTGGGACAAGTCAAGCCGTAAAGACATAGAAAGGATTTAAATTTTTTTTGCTCAAGAACTCACACCGATGAAAAACATTTTTTTTTCTTAATTGATTAAACAAAATTTTGTACCCACCCTCCCCCCCCAACACACTTTTTTTAATTAAAAAAAAAAAAAGCTTTATTCTTGAAAGGGCGCCCCCCCCCCCAATCTCC